ACTTAAATATCAACTTCGCAGAAACCAGAAGAAAAAAATTCAATTGTTATCTAACATGCAGCAAAAATATTGTTTGCAACTTCATACTATTTGCAACTTAAATACTAAATTTACAGATATCAGAGCAAATATTTCAATTGGTATCTAAACATGCAGCAATAGTATTGTTTTCTCTTTTTAGCTCATTCTTTCAATGGTGTCCTCCACTGACGAAGTATAAAACAAAATTTGATATTTGATATTAATAAATTTCTGGTCTCCAAATTATAACGCAGCATATATCTCACTTCTCCTTACTTCCTTTCTTTTTTATATTTATTTTTAAAATCATCGATCGTTTTTAGTACGCCCAGCAGAAAAATACGTTAAAAGTATTTTGGAAATAATGCCTAAATGTCGAAATGACAAATATCGTTGTTACCTGTTGGGATGTTATCTATACTTACCTGTAGTAAGTTAAGTTAAATTTTTTGAATATTTTTTTCTTTGGTAAATGATAGTAAATGGTAAATTGATCATTCTAACCATTACTTTATCTTTCTGACAGCTTACAAATTAAGTGTTGAATGAATGACTAATCACTAGAAACCGTCAAATAAATTGACCCATTTTATTTTATTTTCACACTACTCGTAAGTATAGAAGAGCTGCTAAGGTTAGCCATGGGTGATTGATCAAAACGAATGTTAGTAAGAAAGAACAATTATCTTGAAAATACGAGGAAAATACGAATCCTAATCGAATTTTTTTAAAGAGTTTTTGAATTGCGTTGAAAATTTCCTTTCCAAGTATCTTTGCATAGGTTTAGGCTGTAATCTTAGATATACTTTAAAGTCTCATTGAGTTAGTTATTTTTAAACAAAGAATCTTTTCTAATAAGCATCGCAGTTTCGAAAGTTGTAAGTTTACTAAATTAACAAATTGCTCTGCTTCGTTTCAACATGAGTAAATTGTTACCAAAAGTTTTTTTTAATGTATATTTTTTAAATCTAAGCACTACATGTCATGTTTGTTTAATTTATTTAATTAAACGAAAATTTTATAAGAAAATACATCTTCCTAGACGACTTTAAAGACTGTTACGCACATCGAATGATGTAAACTAATATATAAACAATGTAGAAGCACAAATAAAGAAGTATGAGAGTGACAATCGTTTCAGTACTTATAGGTAGAAATCCCAATATGTATATGTATCGTATATGGTACCATAAACTCTGTCATTTCTCTATGTATTGGTAACACCGGCTTAATTATTATTCCTTTTGTTAGGCTCTCTTTGGTAATAAGCAATAATTTAAGTAGTGTTGAAAAATTAGTTATGAGTTCAGTATATTTATTTAGGTTTATTTTTTATCCTTTTCAAGATATCTGTGTGCATACATATAAATATTCTCAAGGCTCAAGATCAACCCACAGCCTCATATCCTTTAATTGTTTTGATTGGAGAATTATCTTTTAATTGGAGAATTGTTTGAATGATTGATACATTATCGATAGATGTAGTAGACCATATAAGAAAGAAATGACACTTGTTTGCCAGAAAAAAAGATGGGTTTCATAGGGCATTTGGGTACAATAGGAAGAAAAAAAAAATTGTGCATATGAGAAAAATAGGTATTTCCTTAAAGGAAAATCGTTTTAGTAGGGGGTGACAACGTTGAAAAACTTTGAGGCACCGAGTCAATGTGGTTATTAATGAGGGGCTAGAGTATTCTGTCCCACTCCTCCACAAGAGCTCTTTGCAGTTCTTGGAGAGTTTGTGGGGCTGGTAGGTGTCCAGAAATTCGTCTGCCTAGAATATCCCAAACATGCTCGATTGGGTTCATGTCTAGAGAACACGCTGAATATTTTTTTAAAATATTTTATTTTAACAATTTTTCTTCAGAAAATT